CATGCCTGTGATCCCAGCTACTTGGGAGGCTGAGGCAGGAGAATTGCTTGAGCCTGGGAGGCAGAGGTTGCAGCAAGCCGAGATCGTGGCACTGCACTCCAGTCCGGTTGACCAAGTGACACCCTGTCTAAAAATAAATAAATGAATAATAATGATTTAAAAAATTAGCCAGGTGTGGTGGCACATGCCTGTAATCCCAGCTACTCGAGAGGCTGAGGCAGGAGAATCGCTTGAACCCAGGAGGAGGAGATTGCAGTGAGCTGAGATCGCACCCTATACTCCAGGCTGGGTGACAGAGCAAGATTCCATCTCAAACAAAATAAATTAGCAAGCAAGAAAAGTTTGAAATTGGAAGAAATCTGGAAAAATCTGTGTCACAAAAATTTGTCCTGAATCAAACATGTTTTCTCCCTAAAGAAACACTACATAGCAGATGAAGAAAAACTCATCTGGTAAAAGGCAAAATTAAATAAATATAGAAGCAGAAAGACTAAGTTGTTATTATGGACTTACTTTGCAGCCAAATTCACTAATGAATATTTTTAAATAATATTGAAGAGAGGGCAATTCAGTGTGAGAAGACTGGTATAAAACTAACTTTTATCTATTACTGAATCCAATAGCAGGAGTTATCCTGAAATCCTTAGATGCTCTTTAGGGGTTTGTGAACTCTCAGGTATTTGCATGGTATTTTTGTACCTATAGGGATTTTTTACTGGAAAACAATTTCCAGTTCCTGTCAGATTTTCAGAGAGGTCTAAGGATCACCGTTCTAAAATTATTTAAAGAGGCTCGGCGCGGTGGCTCACGCCTGTAATCCCAGCATTTTCGGAGGCCGAGGCGGGTGGATCACAAGGTCAGGAGATCGAGACCATCCTAGCTAACACAGTGAAACCCCGTCTCACTAAAAATACAAAAAATTAGCTGGGCACGGTGCCGGGCGCCTGTAGTCCGAGCTACCCAGAAGTCTGAGGCATGAGAATGGCGTGAACCTGGGAGGTAGAGCTTGCAGTGAGCCAAGGTCGCACCACTGCACTCCAGCCTGGACGACAGAGCAAGACTCCGTCTCAAAAAAAAAAAAAAAAAAAAAAGATTATTTAAAGAATGTGGAAAGGTTGCATATGGTTATATCAGTTAAAGCTTAGCGTTCATAAGATCAAAGATGTGCATTTGAGGTATTCATCTTTGGAAGAGTCAAGTCAGGCCTGTCTGGATAGTTGCAACAAAAACAGACAGAATAGCTAAGAATTGGATTTAGACAGGCCCGTTGTATGAAGTAAGATAATACTCAGTGCTATATATATTTATCTCACTGGCTTAACAAGATAAAAATCTATTTCTCACTCACACAAAGCCCAATGTGGATATGCATAGTCAATAGGCAGCCGTCCATGTGGTCATTCAGGGATCCAGGTTTCTTGCATCCTATGGCTCTGTTTTCCTATATGGCCTTGGAGTCCTCTGTTAAAGCCTCTGTGTCTAACAGACAGTAGATATGGGAAGAGAGAGAAGGTGTGGAGGATCACATGAAGGGGTGGATATCACATCTACCCACATTCTTTCTGTGATAATTCAGTCACGTTACCAAGCCTAACTGTAAGAGAGGTTGTAAAGTGAGTTCTGATGAACATATAGCATTTCTGCCCTACCCACTTAAATGAAGCAACAGTACCAGGGAGTAGTTGGAGGTAAAGAAGACATGCTGCTTTAGATACGAGAAGAAAGTCCCCTGTCATAGGCAGGTCAAGATATTCCATAGATGACAGGCTGGAAGACAGTGGCAGAAGAGGCAGGAATAGAGGAGGAGGTAGAAAAGGATCCAGAAGACTAGGTGCAGTGGCTTATGCCTATAATCCTAACACTTTGGGAAGCAGAGGTGGGTGGATCGCTTGAGCCCGGAAGTTTGAGACCAGCTTGGGCAACATTGTGAGACCCTGTCTCTATAATTTTTTTTTTTTTTTTTTTTTTTTTTGAGACGGAGTCTCTCTCTATTGCTCAGGCTGGAGTGCAATGGCATGATCTCCGCTCATTGCAATCTCCGCCTCCCGGGTTCAGGTGATTCTCCTGCCTCAGCTTCCCAAGCAGCTGGGATTACAGGTGCCTGCCACTACGCCCGGCAAATTTTTGTATTTTTAGTAGAGACAGGTTTTCACCATGCTGACTAGGCTGGTCTCCAACTTCCAACCTCAGGTGATCCGCCCGCCTCGGCCTCCCAAAGTGCTGGGATTACAGGTGTGAGCCACTGCTCCCGGCCTATACATTTAAAAAAAAAATTAGCCACAGGTGGCATGCACCTGTAGCCCCAAATACTTGGGAGGCTGAGGTGGGAGATCGCTTGACCCCAGGAAGTCGAAGCTGCAGTTAGCTGTCACTGCACTCTAGCCTGCACAATAGAACAAGACCCTGTCTCAAAAGAAGAAAAAAGAGAAGCATCTAGAAAATTAGATGGTGACAGTGACATAAAACCTATGAGCAAAAATGCTCAGAATTTTAGGCATGGAGGCAGGAGGAATTTGGGAAATCAGTTACTGGTTGTAGAAAGCAGAGCCCTAGACACCTAATTGGTATTTAGAAAGACCTATAGGTAGGAGTAAGAGATAAAAGTAGGGCCAGACAAGAACTAACTACAATGAAATAACCAAGATCGAGAAGATTACAGAGATGGATAATGGGGCACAAGGGTAGATTGTCCAGACAATTTATGAGATGATTTGTTCACAACCAGAATGTCAGACAAGAGCTATTCAAATTCCTCTTGCCCAAGGTCAGGATTGGTCCTGGAGCAATGCAGCGCCTGCAGACAGGGGTGAGCTGTGAGAAGAGATGTGTGTGAATTAGATAAATCCTGACATGATCTATCCTCAAACATTAGCATTAGGGTGAGGATTAGGGCTGGGGTTACTACACTTCTCAGTGACAGACAACAACCTTAACTAACGCTAGCTTCCTCACACATGTCCTAGAATGAAACAATATAATTGAATTAGTGCAAATCCCTCAGTGCACAAAGCAAATGTCCCAATAAGAGTACAGAGGACCCAGAATGGCATATTTGCTTAGAAGAGACAAAAATAAAAATAAGTCAATACATGTGAGACACATGTCTTAAGCTTTAAATATATCTAACCATTTAATGTGGACAATAACCGTTTGAAGATGGTACCTTTATCCTTCTGTAAAGGTATTGTAAATTATCCAAATTTTACAGATTAAAAACTAAGGAATGGAGACTTACAAGTGACTTGCTCAAGTGACTGGTAGAGCTGGGATTCCAAGAGGATTGGCTGCAGACTCAATGGCCTTAACCACTACACTATACTTCCTGTCTTAGAAAGTCAAATAGTTTCATATAAACTTTTACTCGCTTGACGGATATGCCAGTGAAGACACAACCTATAAATCTCCCCCAGAGATTTCATTTACCATTTTGTTTCCAGAAAGCTGCCCCGTCCTTTTGGAATGTAGGTTAAGTAGTGGACAGTCCAAGAATAAGATGGGGACAGTTCACCAGGATGGCCATCCTCTCAAAGAATGTAAGCTTTTGTTCACCAACAAGCTTTGAAGTAAAGCATGTCACAAATGACCACAGAATGTCAGGGCTTAAGGACCACAGGAGCACCTGTCTTCCTGCAGAGAGGCTAATGAGCTTGCAAAATATCCCTTAGGAACAAAAGCAAGTTTTCCTAACTTTCATGGTGAGGTGTAACGAAAAGTGCATTTTACTCAGCATGAGGGAGTCATGAAGGTTAAGAGCCAGAAACTTCTGATGGTGATAAAAGTAACTTCCTTAATTCTTGGGTTGCTAGAGGGACTATCTTTTTTAAGAAAAGGGTTCAACCTCATACTTCATAGAATTTAGTTTCTATGAAATGAAGAATCCAATATTTTATATAACTAATCAAGAATTATAGTCATCCATCCATCCATCCATCCATCCATTCAAGCATTTATTCATTCATTTGCTAAAGTAGTCACTCTTTCCAAAATACCTCCTGAGCCAAAACTTATGCAAAATCCTAGGTATTTGAAACACTTCCAATCAGTTGGGGTTTTTTTTTTGTTGTTGTTGTTTTTCTGCCTGGTTTTCAGATGTTGTGAACAAACCCAATGTATAGGGTCCCAGTATATTTCAATGAATTTCATATTAAATATGTTTCAGGAACCATAATAAGGCCATTAATTATGGCATAGTTTGAAGCTTTCATCTACTAATCCAAAGTAAAGAGTTCACTTAAAAGAATTTTCTAGCCAGGCACAATGGCTCATGCCTGTAATCCCAGCACTTTGAGAGACCAAGGCTGGTAGATCACTTGAGATCAGGAGTTTGAGACCAGCTTGGCCAACATGATGAAACCCTGCCTCTATCAAAAATACAAAAATTAGCCAGGCATGGTGGCACACATGTAACCACAGCTACTTGGGAGGCTAAGGCAGGAGAATCGCTTAAACCCGGCAGGCGGAGGTTGCAGTGAGGTGAGATTACACTACTGTACTCCAGCCTAGGTGACAAAGCAAGACTCTGTCTCAAAAAAAGAAAAAAAAAATTCTTTGTAGCTTTGAACCTTGCTTTTTGCTCCAAGATGTCTTTTATATACTACACGCTCAGTTTTAAGCCAAACAGGGAACAAGGCTCAGTCAACAGTAAACTGCCTTCAGTATCAAAGAAGTACTCAGATTTCTGCAAATTGTGTCTATGAGAGTTGTAAGGTCCTTGCTGTCTTTGTAGAAATGTATATCGTGACAAAAACATGTATTATGAGGATAGTGGAAAATGAATCTCTGTACCTCGCTTCCCTGCCAGGGCCAGTTAGTGTTGCTTGTGCAAACGCTGCAATTCTACCTCTACTTTAAATCATTCTATTTCAATGGCCCAGAGTTCTTCTAGCTCTAAGAAGTCCAAAATGATTTAGTTCAGCATTTGGCTCTGCATCACATGATAACATTATTTTCTGATGGTAACAAGAAAGAGGACTACTCAGGAAAGCAAATAAAGCCCAACATCAAGGTGCCAACATTCTGAATACATTTATTCATGTTTGTATTTGTGGATGGAAAATTTTTTCCATGCTACAAAGTTTTGTTAAAAACAAGTTGCTACAAATCAATAAATAACTGCTATAACTATTATCTATTGTAACAGAATAATAAATAGAAAATAAACAGATGCAACTACTTTGCTACATACAAGACTTTTTCCTGTTATAAAACTAATAAAAGTGCTGCCGCTTTTCTTTCTTTTGAGTATTTTCCCTTGAGATACAATATTTTTATTGCACGTTGCTTTGTGCTTGTCTTACCAGTTTCAGGTTCGTAGCACATCAAAGAATTACAAACATTTCCATTTAGAACAATGATCCTACTAATCAGGTGCTTATTTTCTGCCATGTGTTCATTTACAGATTACAAACATAAAAGAAGCAAAGTACAAAAATTAATGCATATGTGTGTGTGTGTGCACGCGCACGCGCTCAAGGCTGGGAATACAGACTGGTATGAAAGGCTTTTAACTAGTTGTGCATCAAAATCATACACAATGGCCATTAAAAACTCACTTAGCTATCAGCATGTAAATCATTGGGTTGGTTATTCAAAGATCAGACAAACAGAATTGCCCGATACTGTTTCCATTTGGGTTTTCCAGCTCGTATGGTTCCAGCTGACGATACTCAAAAGTCACACGATTTATGTGTTTTCCACTGGAGACCATGCGCACCACAGTGTTGTCACAGCCAACTTTCATTTGGGCTATAATGGATGGAAAAGATAAAAGTTTCCCAGCAGGTTAGAAACCACACAGTCATCATTTAAACGATGGGATCACTTAAACACAATGAAAGCAAGGAGACGTATCTTCCTCTCAGGTACTCAAACTACGCATCTACTATCAGTTGAAATGTTTTTGTTTCATTTTTATTGTAACTTATAATTAGTTACAGAATAGTGTAATTGAATTCAGTCTTTCTACTCATGTGCAAGAACACTATTAGAAAAATAAAACTAGCTGGAAAGAGGAAAGATGTTTCCTCGGCCTTTTTTGCCTGCAAAGCCTGAGTGGTAAAGGCAGGCAAAGAAAATCAGTCTGGCGTGTGCACAGTTGCTTGGGTTCCGGGTTCGCAGTGGAAACAGTACTGCCCTCTAAGCACAGGTCGGAAATTTGCAGTGGCAATTTTTGTTTGTCACCAGATCTAGGGTTGCAAGGGGCATTTAGTGGGGGCTAGAGGATAGAATGTACTGTGGGACATTTATGTAGACCAAAAAAAAAAAAAAAAATGACCTGTTTATCATTTTCTGAATTTAAACAAAAACTCTGTTTTATACATAAACAAAAAGATCATTTGCATGGTATAGATATACACTGCACATACTAGTTTTTGTTCTATTATCCACTTACAACTTTTCTCTGATTTTTTCTGTACCACTTATATGAAATGGCTTCTCATATCCTTGCTTCTCTTAACTCCAATCTTATTCGGCCGGGCGCGGTGGCTCATGCCTGTAATCCCAGCACTTTGGGAGGCCGAGGTGGGGAGATCAGGAGGTCAGGAGTTTGAGACCAGGCTGGCCAACATAGTGAAACCCCGTCTCTACTAAAAATACAAAAATTAGCCGGGCATGGTGGTGTGCGCCTGTAGTCCCAGCTACTCAGGAGGCTGAGGCAGGAGAATTGCTTGAACCTGGGAGGTGGAGGTCATGGTGGGCCGAGATCACACCACTGTACCCCAGCCTGGGGAACAGAGTGAGACTCCATCTCAAACAAACAAACAAAAATCCAGTCTTATTCATTATTTGTATAAGATCTGACAACTTTTATATCTCTTCTGTATGGGTTATATACTGAAACTCATATTATTTTCATTAAGAATTCCTTTCCTTTTATTTATGTAGCCTCAAGCTGGTTCCTGAGGCAAGATTTATCTGCCAACAATAATTGTTTCTGCTGTTTTAGTTTTCTCAATCTTCCTTTTCCTCACTTTGTCTCTATAAGGTGTTTTTAAATTTTAAGAAATGCTATCATTGTCCTTGTGTAATGGGTACCACTCAAACACATACCTGGATTTAAATAAACAGTTCAACAGAGTTATTGAGATAAAAGACAATTTGATGATGTAATAAATAAAAGCCCTATAATTATTTTAATATAAGTACCAGGGAGTCTAGTTAAGCTTCTACCAGGAGGTCCAAATTTATTTCTCTTTTCCTTTCTTTTCTTTTTCAATTTCTTTTTTTTTCTTTTGTGGCAGGGTCTTGCTCTGTCATCCAGGCTGGAGTGCAGTGGTGCCATCTTGGCTCACTGCAACCTCTGCCTCCCAGGTTCAAGCGATTATTCTGCCTCAGCCTCCCCAGTAGCCAGGATTACAGTTGTGTGCCACCACACCGGGCTAATTTTTTAATTTGAATAGAGACGGGGTTTCACCATGTTAGCCAGGCTGGTCTCAAACTCCTGACCTCGAGTGATCTGCCTGCTTCAGCCTCCCAAAGTGTTGGGATTACAGGTGTGAGCCACCACACCCAGCCAAATTTATTTTTCATTAAACAATTTGGAGGCCATTCTTTTTCTGATCTTACTCTGGACTTTAATCTTTATAACATGTCCTATTTTCTTTACTTGAGTATTATTTATTATTTTGAACTAATTCCTAACAAAATCCAATGTAAAGGGCAGGGTCCCTAATAGTTCAACACTGAACAGCTCGGGAGAGGCTCATGGAAACATGATAAAGAAAGAAAAGAATTAAGGCAGCAGAACAGGGTCTGGAAGCAGGAAACTTGGGGTAATTCGTGCTGAATCAAGGAAAACCACCAAGGCCTGGTGGCAGGGCAACTGAGACCAATTTGTGCTGACTCCCCAAAGCTGGAGCAAAAGGAAAACACCTGGGTCTGGGGGCCGAGAACCTAAGGCCAATTAATGCAAACTTCCTAAAGCTGAACCAAAAGGAAAAACTGCATCTCCCCCAAGCCCGAGTAGTGAAGGATCAAAGGCTAGTCTCCCTACAACTCTCCCCTTCCACCACATCTCGCAAGGAAAGGGAGAGTGCCTTGGACTGGCCGTGGGCCAAGCATGGGCTATCTCTTCATCTGCATAGGGTGCCAATTCACCTCAGCCTTTAGCCACAAACCAAATCCTTCATCCAGAAAAGGGGTAATTGATAAGAACCTCAAAAGGCCAGGCGCAGTAGCTGATGCCTGTAATCCCAGCACTTTGGGAGGCTGAGGCAGGCAGATCACCTGAGGTCAGGAGTTCGAGACCAGCCTGACCAACGTGGAGAAACCCCATCTCTACTAAAAATACAAAATTAGCCAGGCGTAGTGGCACATGCCTGTAATCCCAGCTACTTGGGAGGCCAAGGCATGAGAATCGCTTGAACTCAAGAAGCAGAGGTTGCAGTGAGCCGAGATCGCACCATTGCACTCCAGCCTGGACAACAAGAGCGAAACTCCGTCTCAAAACAAAAGAAAGGAGTACTTGAAACCCAGAAAACTTTTGTAACCAGGCCCTTGAGCCACTTGCTAGGGTCCACTCCCACCCGGTGGAGTGCTTTGTCCCTTTAATAAATCCCCGCTTTGGCTACTTCATTCCTGTGTTTCATTCCTTTGTTACTTGGTGCGTTCTGTCCAATTCTTCGTTCAAAACACCAAGAACCTGGACAACTTACAATCAAGGCCCTCCTTCCAGTAATGGAATAAAGTCTGAAATGAACCAAACAGTGATATGATTAAAGCCTTAAAATGTCTTAAAAGTGGTTTCAGTTACCTAGGTAATATAGGCAAAAGTGGTTTTCCAGCTTTAGAATCACCTTTTTTGCCAATTCAAGTTATACCACTCAAGCAGAAAAATTACTTTGGCTTCAATTATCTAAATTTAAAGGCCTGATTGTTTTTTAATCCTTGTCTTACCGTTTAACCCAGCTGAGGTATATCTCCTCAAAGGTGCTCTCCAATCATGAGCAGAGAAGTAATTCAGTACCTCAGATCGTTCACCCAAAAGGCTGGAGAGGCCGAATGCACTGACAGTTTAAACCAGGGCTCAAGTGTCAATTAGCATTAGAGAATCCCCTAGTTTTCAGCAAAGTGGGATTTGAGAAATCTTTTGCCTTTACCTTGCTTGGAAAGCTTGCTTTGAGCCCACTCCTGCCTTAAATCTCATCTGAAACTTTTAGAATACACTATATCTGGGGGAGGGTAGACTGCATATCAGGCTTTAGTGCTGACTTTTGTATAATCCATCCTCTGGTATCCTCGGGAGATTGGTTCCAAGATGCTCCCCATCCCACAGATACCAAAATCCACAGATGTTCAAGTCCCTTATGTAAATGGCTACCTTTTACCTTTACCTATTTCCATGCAAACTACACACATCCTCCCGTATACTTTAAATCATCTGTAGATTACCTATAATACCTAATACAATGTAAAAGCTATGTAAATAGTTGTTACACTCTATTTTTTTTGTGGTTTTTTTTCCTGATTATTTCCTTTTTTATTTTATGGAGGTATGGTCTGTTGACCAGGATGGTCTCAAACTGTTGGGTTCAAGCGATCCTCCTGCCTCAAACTCCCAAAGTTCAGGAATTACACTGAATTTTTTTTTTTTTTTTAAAGACAGAATCTCTCTCTGTTACCCAGGCTGGAGTGCAGTGGCACAATCTCAGCTCACTGTAACCACCACTGCCCTGGTTCAAGCAATTCTGCTGCTTCAGCCTCCTAAGTAACTGAGACTACAGGTGTGCACCCCATGCCTGGCTAATTTTTTTGTATTTTTAGTAGAGATAGGGTTTCACCATATTGGCCACGCTGGTCTCGAACTCCTGACCTCAGGTAATCCGCCCGCTTTGGCCTCCCAAAGTGCTGTGATTACAGGCATGAGACACTGCACCCTGCCTACATTGACTATTTTCTATTTGCAATTGGTTGAATCCATGTATGGGGAACCCACAGTTAAGGAGAGCTGACTCGATGCTAATTCTATTTTAGAAATGTTTTGTACATCATCAACTCAGAGACAGAAAATACTGGTGGTGTGGCCTGGTTTTAATTATTACAGGTAACAGCTGATCAAGAGGACTGTCTGCTTTGCAGCATCATTGCCTAGCTGGTTAATGATCTGCAGTGACAGGAGAGGGAGGAGGCTACAGTCAGAATTAACCGAGATTAGAGACTGCTGTTCTTCTGTTTTGTCTCTTTAATGATAATCTAGGGCTCCTGTGTCGAAGTAAAGCTGTGGGAGTGACCTTTACAGTAATGTTTGATGACTCCTCTCCCCGCCTCCCCCAGACTTCATCGAGTTGTTTGGTCAGGAGGTCATGAAGTCCCATCCATCCTCACCTGACATGAGCATAATAAAGTGAAAATCCTCACTTGTCTCTGACATAGATCTGGTTCTATCTGGCATATGCTGTGCCAAATAAACCAGTCTTCTATTACTGGTGACCGCTTTTAGATTTCAGAATTTACCTCTGTGTTACACTGGCCTTTGAGAGGCTAGTTTAGCCGTTAAGAAGTTATAGACTTTTAGCAGTTCTAAGAATTTCTAATAAAGCTTAACACTTTGTTGTTTATTTACTATGAGTAACACACATACATACACATATATAAAAAACAGTTACTTCATTATTATCCTATCACTAATTGATGATACATCTACTATTTGAACCATAAGTGTTTCAGTTAGTAGATAAACTCTTTAGTCTCTAGAAAATGAAAGCAGGGACCCCCAAGAAAATGGAAAGAAAGCAGATTTTAAAAGCTTTGTCTTTTTCATAGTTTTACTTAAGGCCAACCTTTATTGCTTCACAGGTTTCTCTCCCAATGTCAGATATTTTGGTAAAGATACTGATGTTATACATAACCTCAAATCCTCATACTGGCTCAGTGTGAAAAATTGAAGATTTTTTTGGTGAAACTCACCTTCCAATGTAGAAAATATTGGGGGATAGATTATTTTTTTTTAATCTTGATAAGCACATACATAATAATCAAAGAAATACCTCACCCGGGCCATGAAAGGGGTAGCAGAGATCAGCTAAAGGTATCATCTTGGAAGGGTCCAATCCAGTTCCTCCCAGCAGCTCCACAAAGTCTCCTATTCCCTCACAACCTGCTGAGGATTTCTAAGAGAATAAAGTAGCAGAGAAAGACACATTTAAACCAATTACAGAAGTCAAACCATTTGACCAGCAGCGGGTCCATGAATTCATTCAATCAGCTCTCAACATCCTGGCAATACCGTTTAATTTAACATCTGGGACTCCGGAAATTAAAAGACATTTAAAAGAGAAAAAATCATAAAAATTGCTTTTCTAAATCAGTTGAGTAATCATTTTTTTTAGAAATGTGTGTACATGTTTTTTTCATTTTTTTTTAAGCTCAAGGACTGGAATGATAAAATGGAAATCTGTAAACTCCATATAAGATGTACGGAAATTGAACCAAAAAAATACTTTACTTTTCAAATCATTTGGACATACATACTGAATCACTTGAATTTCTTAATGCACGCAGTCACAGTTAAGCGAAGTCAAATACCTACATTTTATAAATAGGGCTTTCACATCCGTTTTTCCTTCACCTCATCTCTTCTTCTTTGTAAAGGAACTTTGTGTGCTATTGGAACACATCATTTCTACCAATAAGAATTTTGATTAATTATGAGTATATTAAAGAAATAATAAAACCCTGATTTGGGGCTCAAGTTAGCTACAGTTACCATGATCTTTCTCCTCTCAACTAAAACAAATTTATTTCAAGCTACTCAAAAGAATTCATTCTGAAGCTTTGTGTGGTCCACCATGATCACCTTCTCCTGCTTCCCTTCATTTTTTTTTTTTAAATTTTGTAGAGATGGGTCCTTGATATGTTGCCCAGGCCAGTCTTGAACTCCTAACCTCAAGGGATCCTCCTGCCTCGGACTCCCAAAATACTGGGATTACAGGCACGAGCCACCTCACTCAGTCTTTTCATCTTTTCCATACTGTCTTGTCCACAGCAATCCCCCTGCCTTACTTTCCAACACAAACGAAGCAACCACTCTCAGTCCCAAAAGTACTTTGAGCCCCCATCTGCCATGATCAGGGCAGTCTCACAAGTATCCCACCTATGCAGCCACATAAATTCAGTGCCTAGAAGGGCTCTATGCTTGGTTTAATGCTCTGCTGCAATCTAATAAACTTGTAATAAGGGCTCTCACATTTTCATTTGTACTGGTACCCACAATTTTGCCTGTGATCCTCTTCTTCATTGAAGTGTGCTCATTAAGAGATCTAGTAGTATGTGACAAGGTGCTCAGTATTTAACTAGATAGACCTTAACACATAGGAACCAAAATCTAAAATAGAGAACTTAAAACACACACACACACACACACACACACACACACACACACAAGCACACACATTCAGGCATTTAGAAGGGCACTGACAGGCATGGTGGCTCATGCCTGTAATTCCAGCCCTTTGGGAGGCCAAGGCAGGTGGATCATTTGAGTTCGAGACCAGCCTGGCCAACATGGTGAAACCCCATCTCCACTAAAAATACAAAAATGAGCCAAGTGCGGTGGCACACCTGTAGTCCCAGCTACTCGAGAAGCTGAGGTAGGCGGATCAATTGAACCTGGGAGGCAGAGGTTGCAGTGAGCCAAGATCACGTGCCACTGCACTCCAGCCTGGGCAACAGAGTGAGACTCCGTCTCAGGAAAAAAAAAAAAAAAAAAAAAAAGGGCATTGAAATACAACTGGAACTAAACAGCAAATTGGAAAATAACATAATGGCAACTGCTTCACTAATGATCAGGGGTAGGTGGGGATATCTATTTTTAAAGGGCCTACCTACTATGTGCTGGGTTTGATGCTTAGAGGCTTTGTATATAATTGCATCAAATGATGAAATAGAGGTTTAATTAGCCCCACTGTATACAGGGCTTCATGTTCTTGTACTGGGAGTGGAATAAGCAATTTATCAGTAAAGGGAAAAAACCTTAATTGCCTTTCCCTTGAGTAGAGGACGTCCAGGAGGAACATCTCTTAAGACTAAATTTTCCACTAGTTTTATAGGTTCCAAAATTCAGCAGGTGCTGTTACAGGGAAAAAGGCAGACTCAGGAGAGAGAAGTGGGAAATAAAAAAGCTAGAAAGAAATAGAAACTAAAGTGAAGGGGACAAAACAAAGAAACAAGAAAGTTAGGTGCACTTATTCCTTGCTGTTCAACGATTTTTCTCCCTTCTTTGCAAACCTCTCAGCTTTTCTTACAATGTTAGGAACTGAGTTATGTGGGGACCTCTGAAGTTCGGTTCCTCAACAGTGATTTCCTAAATTTCTTTGTTGAGGTTCTAAGCCACTACTATCTTTTGCCTAGCCCACAATAATGTACCAAAAAAGTACTTGGCCAGGAGCAGTGGCTCATGCCTGTAATCCCAGCACTTTGGGAGGCCGAGGCAGGCGGATCACAAGGTCAGGAGTTCGAGACCAGCCTGGCCGATATAGTGAAACTCTGTCTCTACTAAAAATACAAAAAAAAAACCTAGCCAGTTGTGGTGGCTCATGCTTGTAATCCCAGCTACTTGGGAGGCTGAGGCAGAAGAATTGCTTGAACCTGGGAGGTGGAGGTTGCAGTGAGTCGAGATTGCACCTCTGCACTCCAGCCTGGGTGACAGAGCAAGACTCCATCTCAAAAAAATAAAAATAAAAAAAAGAAGTACTTATATTCCTTGTACCAAATGTAAGATCCTCGCACCAACTCAATGTGCAAAATTGAAGGTTTTTTGGTTTTTTGTTTATTTTGGTGGAACTCATCTTCCAATACATAGAAATCTGGGCGGTTTAAGAAAATAATCTTGATAGATACATTAATAATAACTAAAGAAACATCTCACCGGGGCCATAAAAAGGGTGGTATGGCCCGACAGCCCATTCATTGCATGGAAGGCGCAGTGACATTTTAGACAGTGTACATCAGATCATGTTGCTTTCCTCCCTGAACCTCTTCAGTGGTTTACCGCTGCACTTAAAATAAACTTAAACTCCCTAATGTGGCCTGCAGGGCTCAGCACACTCTGGCCCTGCCCATCTCCCTGAAGCTGTCTTATGCCAATCTTCCTCTTCCTTCCATTTCTGGAATCCAGCAAGCCCATTCCTGCCTCTGAGCCTCTGCACTGTTCCCTCTGCTCCCTGTTCTCACAGCTGCTGGCTCCTTCTGATCTATCACTCAGGTCTCACTTCTCAAAAGGTTTCTTTCCTGACCACTTTATCACAAGTAGCCCCCTGCCTCTCCATCCACCCCCATGCTCCCAGTCACTGTCTACCACACTATTCTGCTGCATTTTCTGTGTAGCACTTACCACCATTTGAAACACATGGCAGTTTTGCCTGTCTCATCCCACTTGAATGCACGGTCCCTGTGAGCAGGACCTGTCTTGTTTATTGCTAATTTCCAGCATCTACAATAGTGCCTGGCACATGCTAAGCACTCAAAAAATATTTTTGAAAAAGCAGATGCCTAAAACACTGTAGGCTCTAAATTGTTTGGGAGGAAACACCAAGATTACCCCGATAGCCCCAATAACTAAAATTCAGATCTCCCAGTCTGTGCTCACACCTTTCATCTTCTATATTTTACATCAAAAATGACATACAAATATCGAGCCAGTAAGACTGTACCAAAGATACCCAAAAGTGTCCTTATCAAAGGACTATTCTTCCACTAAGAAAAAAGCAGGCACTAATCCATGAATTTAGGGCTTAAAGGAAATTGGATATACTCCTTTTTTCAGTCCTAGTTCTATTTATTTGGTTGTCACTAAAATCTGTCTGATTAGGAATTATGACTGCCTTTGATAGCAGCAAATACATGAGTTATCTTAACCTAGTCATGTGAGAAAGTAAAAGGAAATGAGGATGACTCAGAGGGAAAATGCTGCCAGTGCAAGAAAATGCGGTCAAACTCAGTATGAATTTTAAGGTCCATACAGAACTTTATTCGAAAATAAGTTGATAGGGATTATCCGCTAATATTTTTTAGGCAAAATGTATTGAGTTAAATGTCATGCCAAATACTTTTCAAAGCTTTACCGTATTTTGCAATCCAAAAATCCAATTTTGTATTTTATGCTACAGTTAGCACTCCTTCACAACACAGTTCTGTCAATGAGATACTTCCTTATGTCAAAAGAAAATTCCAATAATCAGAAAAACAGCTGTGTAGATGACTCACACTACGTTCTGCTAGGAGAGAATTTTTGTAAAAGAGGCAAGCACAAGAGAGTTCAATTGTAATTATATACCACAACTTTACCAATTGAAAACATTTCTTACATCACAAGGAAAGTATTCAAGTAGTCAGAAGGGGCACCTGAGTATGCAACTTGCCGCATAACTGAAATAGAAGAGGGGCTTAGTCAAAGCAGCTAGGGCAAACACGTGTGAGATTTAAGAGCTCATCAGAGCGACGTACTACGCCAATTTGCTAGTGTCCAGGTTTGCCCTGTATGATTGCTTCTGCTCTGATAAAGCTGTGGCCTTATCAAATGGTTAGGAAACAAGTAAACAACTCACCTTTAACTGAAGACCATTTACGTGTCCCAGGGTGAGATCAGATATTTTGATCACCACAGGATAAATTATGGAGAAGCTGCAGTTTCGATGCTGGTGTGGAACGACCAGGGTAAACTTTCCATTTGGAGTCTGAGAAATGACATTGCAGGCTTTGTAGAAAGGAAAAAAAAAAAAAAAATTCATGTTTCCATTACTTGGTTTGCTGGGTTTTTATAGACATTTACTGTATCTTATTCTAGGACTCCTGTTCATGATCTAGGGCCTTCTGCCCAGGAAGAGAGCATATATACCACAAAAACAATTTGGAGACAGAAAGGATTTGGGGAACAAAAACCATCAGTGACACGTGGATATTGTCAGGAGGCCCTGGGCTGTGAGGCGGCTTCTAATGTTAATCTTAGGGGGTTACCTTGTTTATAACAATCAAAAGACATAACTCAGCACCCAAACAAATACTAGCTGGTATTAGTTCTAGGAGCACTTGAGTTAACTAGAGTTCAGCTTAAAGCTAGGAGTGTGGAAAAATCAAGGCTTAATGGTGAGTCCAAAACTCAAACTCTATTTTTAAATAATAAAGCAAATAATTAATTTTAAGTATTTTCTTTTTCATTCTTATTTATTTTCCTTTTTAAAAAACTTTTTAATTTTTAATTAAAACTTTTTTATCTTCATTTTAAGACTGGGGGCCTAGGATGCAGCTCAGCAGCTTCACCATGGCCCCGGGCTTATTTTAAGTATTTTTCTTTTCTTTTTTTTTTTTTTTTTTTAAAGCGGAATCTTGCTCTGTCACCCTGGCTAGAATGCAGGGGTGCGATCTCAGCTCACTGCAACCTCCACCTCCCGGGTTCAAGTGATTCTCCTGCCTTGGCCTCCTGAGTAGCTGGGATTACAGACATGTGCCACAACATCCGGGTAATTTTTGTATTTTTAGTAGAGACAGGGTTTCACCACGTTGGCCAGGCTGGTCTCGAACTCCTGACCTCAAGTGGTCCACCTGCCTCGGCCTCCCAAAGTGTGGGATTACAGGAGTGTGCCCCCACGCCAGGCCTATTTTAAGTGTTTTTCTAATAGTGAGAAAATAGGCTGAGAAAAAAAATGAAAGACAGTAGTCTTAAGGCTGATAAATATTTGCTGCATGTTAAGTGATAAGTTAACTAAAAGGTGTATTTTTAATGTTTATTTTACTCCCAAGAACTTCTACAATTTTTTGTTTTATATCTCAAATCTAAATTTACAATACATTGGCCGGAAGTGGTGGCTCATGCCTGTAATCCCAGCACTTTGGGAGGCCGAGGCAGGTGGATCACGAGGTCAGGAGTTCATGACCAGCCTGGCCAAGATGGTGAAACCCCGTCTCTACTAAAAACACAAAAATTAGCTGGGCGTGGTGATGGGCGCCTGTAATCCCAGCTACTCGGGAGGCTGAGGCAGAGAATTGCTTGAACCCGGGAGGCAGAGGTTGCAGTGAGTCAAGATCGCACCACTGCACTCCAGCTTGGGTGACAGAGCAAGACTCTGCCTCAAATAAATAAATAAATAAATCTACAATACATTAATTAGTCTAGATATGAAACTAGAAGCATCAGAATTTGTACTTTTTTTTCTGATTACTGGATGAATCAACATTGATCAGAACAGATCAGAAACACCTCTTGCCTCCTTTTCATATTTTTAATTATACTTACTTTCAAAAAGAACTGAAATACCTTGGAAATATCTAGGAAGTTTCTTTTTTTAATATACTTTTAAAAAAGTTTTAATACAGACAGCGTCTCACTTTGTGGGCTAGCCTGATCTTGAACTCCTGGGCTCAAGTGATCCTCCTGCCTTGGCCTGTAATCCTGCTAGGATTACAGGCATGAGCCACTATGCCTGGCCCAGGAGGTTTCTGATTTCTAACTAAACAAAATATAGGGGAAACTCTTTATTTTGTCTTCTAGAATTATTCTATTGCAGTCCTCAGGAACACTCTTTTTGGGGGGCTTTTTCAAAAATTCTTTTGTTTTTTGAGAACTAGAAATCAAAAGATCAGTAGTACGTTATTCTTTGGCAGATTAGGCCCCATCTTTCAGCCACATGAAATGTTAATATTAATTCTATTGTATGCAAAAATGAGCGATATGTGTTCCTTTTCTAATTTTTTAAACAGATTTTTCTCTTAATGGGGAAAAAAACAATTAGCAGATGAGTAAACTCATTTTTTATTTTTATTTTTTGAGACGGAGTCTCACTCTGTCGCCCAGGGTGGAATGCAGTGGCATGATATCAGCTCATTGCAAGCCCTGCCTCCCAGGTTCACGCCATTCTCCTGCCTCAGCCTCCCGAGTAGCTGGGACTACAGGCGCCCACCACCACACCCGGCTAATTTTTTGTATTTTTAGTAGAGACAGGGTTTCACTGTGTTAGCCAGGATGGTCTCGATCTCCTGACCTCATGACCCACCTGCCTCGGCCTCCCAAAGTGCTGGGATTATAGCCATGAGCCACCGCCTGAGTAAACTCATTTTTATAAAGATAATATGCTTTAGGCCGGGGCTGCTCAGTTGTATAGCATAAGCTACATGTGTGTCCATCAGAAATGAACTAAATTAGAGTGGTGGGCTCAGAATCAGAAGGTAACATTGAGATGCTATAATCCAACCCTCTGGTCAGGGCATGATATCTGTTTACCACATTCAGGCACAGGCTGAAAGACATGGAGACTTTCAAGCCTGTGCCTGAATATCTCTAAGACTGCAACTTTATATCCGATCCCTCAAGCTTATCCTGGATTAGTGAAATGACTTGGAAGCTTAAAGCTTATCACTAAATGCATCGTAGAACCTGAGGAGCTCAGAGCAAGACTTTGGAGAAAAGATTGAATTGTATTCACCATAAATTAGTATACTACCTAACCTGGGAAATAAATTTAAAACTGTGATTTGATATTCATAGTAAAGAATAGAAACTATCCTTTAGGTCATTTCTAATTACAAAAATATTTCCATTCAAATCATTCCTCAGTTCAAATTTCTTTAAGTCTGTGCAATGATACTACTTTCAAAAAGCAGTCTGACTCCCAAGTTCTGCCTTTTGACTGAGAACACTTACGAAAGAGGTTGGGGTCTGTCTTTATGGTTAATGTGAATCCATTTCCTGGTTCACGGACTCGGAAGAAGATCATGGCCACATTCTGGGAAGATCTGATGCTCCTCCTGCTAAGACCAGTCTCACAGAAATCTATGTACCGCTCAGCTGTGGGGAGAGGATGATCCTGGGAACTGGGGAACTTCTCCCCCTTGAGAATCCAACCATCAAATACCTTTGGAAAAAAATACAGACATAGATGCTATCATTTCCATCAGCTCCTGAAGTCTGAAGAGAGTTGAAAAGGGGAAAAAAGTCATCCACCAATGGGCCTTCAGTCATAAGTGAGAATTGACAGTCCACACTCTGCCTGCTTGCTTTTCATTTGTATATATTGGACTGTGAGGGTTGTTTGCAAGTAATAGTATTAATCAATTTTTATAAGCCTTAAAGCTTCCAAAGTAAGTAAACTTCCTTATAATTTATCATTTCAACCACTTTGGTAAATAAAACCACAGCCAGTGTACATTTTTACCTTGGTCATATTTTCTACCTCTCACCTTCAGAAGAATCCCACAAAAGCATAATTTGGGTTTCGTGCAGCTTCTTTCTTTCCTCTAGTCATTGAAATGTGAACAAAATATCTTGAAAATAGATAGCAAGGCCGGGCGCGGTGGCTCAAGCCTGTAATCCCAGCACTTTGGGAGGCCGAGACAGGCGGATCACGAGGTCAGGAGATCGAGACCATCCTGGCTAACCCGGTGAAAACCCCGTCTCTACTAAAAACACAAAAAACTAGCCGGGAGAGGTGGCGGGCGCCTGTAGCCCCAGCTACAGCCTCGGGAGGCTGAGGCAGGAGAATGGCGTAAACCCGGGAGGCGGAGCTTGCAGTGAGCTGAGATCCGGCCACTGCACTCCAGCCTGGGCGATAGAGCGAGACTCCGAGACTCCGTCTCAAAAAAAAAAAAAAAAGAAAAGAAAAGAAAATAGATAGCAAAATTAAAAAATTGAGCAGCAACTTTACCTGCTAATGGCTATATACATACATTTTTCTCGTTTTTTAAATATCATCACATATTATTTTAAAATGTGAAGAACTGCTTCAACAGCCAGGCAATGATGGCTGGTATACTACCTGGGACATTTTTCCTTCACTTGTTAAAGTTCACAGTTGAACAAAGGGTCAGAGTCTATTGACTTGACCCTCAAAATCACCACAGGTCTCCAGTTTAATGAGTCCAATCTAGTCCACATTAGCAAAATTACCAACAACCCAGCTACAAATTATTTCTAACGCATGTGACAGGTTCCAAAATAATCCTACTTTGGAGATGTTAATCATGATTTTTTTAATTGGACAGTAGAGCTCCATCAGCCATCCCACTCTGCCCTGTTATACTTATGGAGTCTGACGACCGGAATCAGGGAGGCAGTGAGCTTGGGGGTCTTGTCCTCCCCTCCCACCTATCTCCATCTAGATGCCCCCTCGGCAACCAGTCCCCTCCTGCTCCAAAATCGGGTCACCGGCGCACTGAAGACAGCCTCTGTGCGCCGAGCGTGGACCAGCAGGAGCGAGGCGGGATCAGATGTGAGACGTGTGGGGCGGGCCTTCTAACCAAGACGGCCCGCTTGGTGGACCGCAGCGCTCGAGCTGTTGGTTTTTAATCATATTTCATCGGCCCCGGATTGCGTCGCAGCGTTCTGCGCTGCGAGTTCAAGTCTTTAGAAGTTCCCCGGGCCTCGAAAGCGCCTAGAAGGGAATGTAAACCATGGCAGCGTCCAGAGGCACCGACCGGAGCCCTACTGGATGTGTGTGGCACGAGGTCTTCGGGTAAGGGCGAGATTCTCGCCGTGTGGGGGTCCTCGAGCGCGCCTCTCCCACTCGGGCACCAGCGACGTGTCTAAGAATTGCCACCGGCTACCCACGCTCGGCAGCCCCACGCTGGTTGCAATGCCCCAGCCCTTTCCAACCCTCCCGTGCCGCCCCCCAACCCCCTCCCCCGGCTAGGCTGGCGGGCCGTGGGCGCCTCACCTTCAGGAAGTCGCCGCCCTGACAGTCGATGGAGACCTGGTCGTAGTGGATGGTGATGAACTCCTCGGGCTCGCCGATGAAGAAGGCGGCGCAGTGCAGCTGCGGCCGGTCGGCGGTGAAGGTGAACTGGCCCTGGAGGCTCAGCATGTCCAGGCACCCTGGGGGAGGAGGGCACGGGGCAATAAGTCCCGGGCTGCAGCCGCCGCGGCGCCAGCCTCGGGCGGCCCCTCTCCGCGCGCCCCATTCCCGGGCTCTGTAGCGCCCAGCGCTCCGATTTCCAGCCTCGGCTGCGCTGGGTTCCCGCGCCCGCGGCGCGCCACCTCCTTCCCCTCTTAGAGCGCCTCCGCGGACCGATCCTTAGCGAGGGGGCCGCGCCCCTGGCGGTTCCGGACAGCCCCTTACCCGAGATGCCCGCGAGCCCCCTGCCCTCCGCACAGAGTCCCAGCTTCCCCGCGTCCCGGGCGCCCGCGAGCCGGGCAGCCTCGACTCACGCAGAGCGCGGCGGTACGGCTGCTCCCCAGCCAGCTCCCGCTTCAGGTTGGCGCTGAAGAGCAGGAAAGGATCGTAGTCCGCCGCTTCCCGCAGCTGGCAAGGAACATGGGTCAGTCCGGAAAAGTTCAAGGGCTGGGGATAAAAAAGGGGGCCAGGAGCGGGGCACCCTCCCTGCCACTCAGCATAGCAAATAAAGAGAGAGGGATAATATTTTCTCGTGTCGGGAGAAGATGGGAAGGTCTTAGACCCTCTCCATCAGGCCAGGGCATCCCCAGCGGCCAGAGGCAGGCAGGCAGTCTGGGATGCTCAGAGGCAAGGAGGGAGAACAGGATAGGGGAAACCAGGGGCAAGAGAGCATCCAGCAGAGAGGGAAGAAACAGCCAACCCCAAAAGGCTGCGAGCAGAGGCAGCCTGCCTGCCGCCTAGGGCTAACACGCAAGGAAGGTGAGATGGATCAGTCCAGGGGCGGCTCACCTCTAGGTACCGGCTTTCCCCTCTTAGAGCCGTCAGGAAGATGAGAATGAAGTGACACTGAAGTTTGAAGTTGGGCGACATGCTGGCCTTGCCTCTGCAGCTGCTGTGCTCTGCTCCGGAGGTCCTGGGCTTTCCTTCCCACACCCTCGCGCAGACTGAGAGCTAGAAGCTGGTAGGGTCCCTTAGCTGGGTCTCTTTTATAGAGCAGTGGGGAGCGGAGGCTCTCTGCCCCTTAGCTGATCAGAGCTCAGTAACCATGGGTTACCCTGTCTCATTGACAAAGTACGTGGCGATGACGAGGGTCCAGCTCTCAGCCACAAATTTTCAGCGTGGCCCAGCATTATTCACCAAGAATGATTTCAGTCACTACAACTTAGTGCACTAAAGTGTTGGAGAATGAGGTGGAGACAAAGAATAAGGGAGGGCATTTTGTTGACCTGCCAAATGCTACATTATACTTTTCTGTGGGCATTCAGGGAATTTTCCATTTTGCAAATCAAAGTGACAAAGTTACATACATGCATAAAATACCCAAACACATACAGCCTATATTTTGCAGCCTCATCACATAACCTTGGATGAAACCATGCTAGAAATCGTCAAAGAATTTAGTATTCATGCGATTACTCATGCCTCTCAGTAAGAAACTTGAGGCATTTTCAGGTTTAAAGAGAGGTAGAACAGAAGCAAAAGTCTGATTTTGCAGAATATTGCAGTAATGCAATTATAAGCTTTCTTCCTGCCCCTTACTCTTTGCTTTATCCTGGTCCAGTTTCTCACAGGCATTTCTTTCATGGAAAACTAACTCTGGTGTCAGTGGACTTCTGGATTTTAGCTGAGCTCTGTCACTTGACCTGAATGTTTACATGATGTACACACTCCTAGACCAGGTAGCTGTAGCCATGACCTTTGCATCCATCTGAACCACTGGGAGATGAGATTAAGTCATTCCATTTCATGCATTCAAATACCTGGATTACTTTAACACTCTGGTAGAAAGAACTGCCAGGAAGCTTTATTGTAACTGCTCACCAGCAAATTTACAGGGCTAAAAAGATGACTTAGGGATCCAGAGATAAGTATAAGCTTATCTCTGCTTATCAGGAGAGAAGAGAATTTCTTCTTTGTGTCCAAAATTGTGGGAAACATGAGGACGATCCCCTATTGGCTTTCCTACCCCTTTCCAGGCTCTGCACCAAGCACTGTTATTACAATTATTACAAATAGACCATAATACAGAGTTATAAAGGAAGGAATGGCTGTGTTTTCCATTTTAAAATACTCAAACAGTAATTATCCTGGCAGTGTCAGAACTTGAATATTTTCATGTCAGGACAATTCTGAGGTCTGGAGAGGTGGTCTTTTTGTTGGTTTAATCAGGAGGCCTTTCTGCCACAGCCCAACTTTGTAAGCAGTTCTCAGACCATAGACAGTGAGAGGGAAAAGAGTACCTAAAGCTCATGGACACTGACCACCATGTCCTTCTCATCCCAAGGGCTGTTTAGATGCCTGAATTTTAAAAAGGTTATAAAGAAACCTGAGAAGAATAAAAGAGGAGGAAAACAAACAAGTTAACCCAAACTTGCTGGCCTCAAACATGCCAGGCCATCTTCAGGTCTATCTCCCACCCTTTTTGTGCCTAGAGGGAGCCTCAGGCCCATTCACCAGGCATGCCACAGGCCCTCTTCTCTTTCCCATTGATGTAGCCACAGTCCTTGGCCTATTCCCAGAATTCAGTCCAGCACCCACCTTGGAGACCTCTGCCTCTTTGGGGGTCTGGCACCTGATGTCACTCCAGCTCAATGTTGCTTTATTAGCATCACCAAGGAGACATTCTTCTTCAACCGGCCCCTTTACAAGCATATGCTCATGTGCACGTGTGCACACACACATGCACGGACGACACCGATGTTCCCACCCGGCTCTCATGATGCCCCCTCCTCAGGAACCACACACAGCAAGAGCTGGGATGAATAAGCGCTAACATAGTGACTGATTTTACAAATATCATAACATAGCATCTGATTTTACTTAATCCACAAATTATAGCACAAGATGAACCTCATTCCCACCAAATTCTAGGTGGATAAATTAATGTGTAGTTTTCTCCAGTTTGGTAAAATATCTACTAAGCCAGTGGAAAATACTTTTTCTTTAAAAAAAAAAAAAATTACGGTAATTAAAAGATGGAAACTACAACCGATGGAGGAAAACTAAGAAGATTAAATTGGAAGACAAGGAGAAGCCAGGTGGCCATTCTCTCTGAGAGAAAGTATTAAAAATAGGTGAGAGAAATGGAAGAGTAATTTGGATTAGGCAGAAGAAAAAGTTTCTGGGCAATAAGTAGGCCTATGTGTGAAGACTAAGGATAAATTATTTTCATGGACTGCTTTGGTCATTCAAACAATTAGCTTAATATTTGAAAGTTGTTTGTTCAAGCAAACTGGATTTTTAAAAAAATATGTTCTGGGTAAACTCAGAGTCCCCAAGTATGCTGATTGGAAATTATCTGTATGTTAACCTCCATTCTTTTCAAATATTTCAGTTTTTCTCCGTATTTTTCCAGATAGCTTCTCCAATGTTGATGTTATACAGTCCCTGATAGGTGTTTTTTGGGTCTTCAACTATTGTTAGACAGGGCTAATACTTTCTTTTTGTTAGGTGGGATTAAGACATTTTTTTCTTTCACAAAGCCCCAGAGCAAACTGTCACCTATGTTAAGCCTGAAGGCCAAGGTGGCCACACAATAGCAGATCCATATTCAATGCATGGACATGAGGGCAGGTGCAGAATTTAAAATTGTGCATAGACTGATGAGACGCACACAGAGAGCTTCTGACACTTCATGGCAGAGCCTCCACAGGCTGCACTTGACTTTCACAGTCACATGTTTTCAGGGTGACCACAAAATCCCTCTGCATTCAAGTTAGAAGTTGTAATATGACCTGTAATAACAAATGTTTTCTTTTATTTATCACATCAACATAGAACATCACTAATCCATGCTTTAGATGAACTTCCTTTTTCCTTTCCTGACTAATGAATTAGCTGGAATGTTAGAAAATGGAACATATCATTGCGTTCTTTAAGAAGTAAAGACTACTGAATAAAACTCATTGTAGTTAACCAACAACAACCACCACCAAATAGTTTTCAGTTGCCTTCAAGATGATTTGTTTGAATGAATTTAGCTATTATTTTTATTTTATTGTGGTAAGAAGAGTTAAAACACAAGATCTACTCTCTTAAAAGATATTTCAGTACACAACACAATATTATCAACTATAGGCACAACGTTGTACAACAGATCTCTGGAACTTATTCATCTTGCATAACTGAAACTTTATACCCATTATTAGTGATTCCCCATTTTACCCTCCTCCCAATCCCTGCAACCATCATTCTACTGTCTGCTTCTACGAGTCTCACTATTTTAGATACCTCATATAAGTGTAATCGTGCAGTATTTGCCCTTTTGTGGCTGGCATCTTTCACTTAGCATAATGTCCTCAAGGTTCATCCCTGCTGTAGTATATAACAAGGATTTCCTCTTTTCTCTGACTGAGTAATATTCCTTTGTATGTATATACCACATTTTCTTTATTCATTCATCAACGTTTAGGTTGTTTCCACATCTTAGCTATTGCGAATAGTGGTGCAACGAACATGTGAGTGCAGGTATGTCTTCAACATACTGATTTCAATTCTTTTGGAAAAATATGCAGAAGTGGGCTTGCTGAAACTTTTCTTTTTTCTTTTTTTTTCTTTTTTTGAGATGGAGTCTCGCTCTGTTGCCCAGGCTGGAGTGCAGTGGCAGGATCTTGGCTCACTGCAAGCTCCGCCTCCCGGGTCCACGCCATTCTCCTGCCTCAGCCTCCCAAGTAGCTGGGACTACAGGCGCCCGCCACCATGCCAGGCTAATTTTTTTGCATTTTTAGTAGAGACGGGGTTTCACCATGTTAGCCAGGATGGTCTCGATCTCCTGACCTTGTGATCCGCCCACCTCGGCCTCCCAAAGTGTTGAGATTACAGGCATGAGCCACGGCGCCCGGCCTAAAAACTTTTATTTTAACTTCAGGAGTTCATGTGCAGGTTTGTCACATAGGTAAACGTGTGTCTGTCATGGAGATTTGTTGTACAGATTATTTCGTCACCCAGGTATTAAGCCTAGTACCCATTAGTTATTTTTCCTGATCCTCTCCCTCCTCCCACCCTCCACCTTCCAACAGGCCCTAGTATGTGTTATTTCCCTCTATGTGTCCATGTGTTTGTTCTCATCATTTAGATCCCACTTATGAGGACACACAGTATTTGATTTTCTGTTCCTCTTGTCAAGGGGAATGTTAACCTTCTTTCCTTTCATACAATACTCTATTTTAATGTTTTGAGGAAGGTCCATACTGTTTTCCATAATGACTGTGCTAATTGCCATTCCCTCTAATGGTGGCCAGGGTTTCCTTTTCTCCCTGCCAGCACTTGTTATCTTGTAGCTTTTTGATGATAGCCATCCGAACAGTTTCGAGGTGATATCTCGTCATGGATTTGATTTGCGTTTTCTTGATCATTGGTGACATTGAGCATCTTTTTATATATCGATTGGCCATTTGTATGTCTTCTTTGGAGAAATGTCTATTCAAGTCCTTAGCCCATTTTTAAAATGACTTATTCGGTTTTTTGCTGTGTTGTAGGAGTTTCTTACATATTTTGGATATTAACCACTTATCAGATATATGGTTTGTAAGTATTTTCTCCCATTATGTAGGTTACCTTTGCACCCTGTTGATCATTTCCTTTGCTGTGCAGAAGCCATTTATTTATTTATTTACTTAGAGACAGAGTCTCACTCTGTTTCCCAGGCTGGAGTGCCGTGGCAGAATCTCAGCACACTGCAACCTCTGCCTCCCAGATTCAAGCAATTCTCCTGCCTCAGCCTCCCCAGTAGCTGGGATTACAGGTGTGCACCACCACACCAAGCTAATTTTTGTATTTTTAGTAGAGACAGGGTTTCACCTTGTTGGCCATGATGGTTTTGAACTTCTGACCTCAAATGATCCACCTGCCTTGGCCTCCCAAAGTGCTGGGTTTACAGATGTGAGCCACAGCTCCCCGCCTGCAGAAGCTTTTTGGTTTGATATAGTCCCACTTGCCTATTTTTGCTTTTGTTGCCTGTGCTTATGGTGTCATATCCATTAAATCATTGCCAAGACCAATGTCATGATGCTTTTTCCTGTTTTCTGCTAGGAGTTTTATAGTTTCAGGTCTTACACTTAAGTCTTTAATCCATTTTGAGTTGATTTTTGTGTAAGATGTAAGGTAAAGTTTCCATTTTATTTATTTGCATGTGGATATCCAGTTTTCCCAACACTATTTGTTGAACTGATTATCCTTTCCCCGTTGTATATTCTTGGCACCCTTGCTGAAGATGAGTTGACCATATATGTGTGGATTTATTTCTGGCTCTATGTTCTGCTCAATTGGTCTGTATGTCTGTCTTTATGCCTGCACCATATTGTTTTAACTACCGTAGATTTGTGATATATTTTGAAATCAGGAAGTGTGGTGCCTGCTGCTTTGTTTCTTTCTCAAGATTGTTTTGGCTACTTGAGGTCTTTTTGGTTTCATACGAATTTTATAATTGTTTTTCTATTTCAGTAAAAAAAGGATTTAGCTATTTTTAATTCAACTGTTTTTAATAGATAAGATTTATTTTTCATGTGTGTTTGAGATCAGGAAGGAAGAAATGAAGCACATACCCTTTGGGGAACTAGTGTAAATCAGCCTTGGAATGGAATTCTAATACGCCAGCTATTTTCAACCCAAATGATGATCAACAGTTGGTAAAAGTTCAGACTTTTCCGGATTGCAATTGACTGATAACAAACGAGCGTAAGCCAAAGGGGAAATTTTTCATCAGGACACGAAGACTTCTTCCAGAATACATGGGGAGGCCAGGACGTGGGCGATTAAAGGCAGGAGCTTGAGTGCTACTCCCCAGTCTCTCTGTCTGCTAGCTGACCTTACTGACATCTGCAGTCCCTGTGCTGGTAAATAGGCCACCAACAATTCTAAGTTTTACATGTTACTGTTAGACAAATAAAAATAACCTAAACTAATGTGCTTCACAAAATTGTAGGATGAGGCCCCCAGAGGCCGGGGGGTAGGATCTTGTCATAACATGACTGTTCTCGGGCAGCCATAGGAATAGAGAAGGGAGAAGCAGTTTTCAGAAGAAGGGATGCTAAATCCACAAAATAATAGGTTTCCACAAAAAAGTAAAACAAAACAAAACAAAGCCCCA